CTCATGGGAGCATATTACCTTTTCATCCCAAAGCTTGTGGCCTAAACAGGAGGCAGAACCTGGGAAGGGGACAATTGTGGGCAAGCTTGCTACTGCCTGATCCTGTCTTCTGCCTCTCACATGCTTTTTTAAAGGTTGATGAGGTTGTCATAGTTTCTGAATTGCCTTCTGCCCTGTGCTCTGCCCGCTTTGTCCCAGGTCTCCTGATGCAGGAGGGCCTGTCAGAGCAGCAGAGAGCTGGGGCCTCTGCAGTATTCCCGCACCACACCCGGCCCTGTCTCTTGCTGAGCTTGCAATGGGCTTCTTGGCAATCAATCCAATAGAAATAGAATGTAAGCCACGTGTAATTTTTCATTTTCTAGTAGCCTTGTTTAAAAATATAACAAAAAAACAGATGAACATAGTCTTAATAATGTGTTTTATTTAACCCCACATAACCAAAATATTATCATTTCAACATATAATCAGTATAAAATATTACTAATGAGATGTTTCATGTTCTTTTTTTACCTCCTCAGTCTTCAAAATCTAGTATTTTACATTTAGAGCACATCTCCATTTAAACCAGCCACATTTCTTTTTTAAGATTTTATTTATTTATGAGAGAGAGAGAGAGCGCGTGCATTCAAGAGAGACTGATTGAGCAAGGGGAGGATCAGCAGGAGAGGGAGAAGCAGACTCCCCACAGAGCAGGGAGCTCAATAAGGTGGGGTTTGATGCCAGGACCCCAGAATCATGACCTGAGCCAAAGGCAGAAGCTTAACTGACTGAGCCACCCAGGCGCCCCGAACCAGCCCCATTTTAAGTGCTCAATAACCACAAGTGGCTAGTGGCTACCATATCAGATAGCACATTCCAGGACATACATGAAAGTCTAAATATAATTGCACTTATTGCTAATATTCTGCTAATATTAACCCCTGGCTGTTAACATTTTATTATATTCTCATCTAGTCTTCTCTATGTATAATATTTTTGCAAAGCTGAAGCCATGTTGCCTTTATGGCTTTACATCCTTCTCTTGCTATTTTTGTGTATCTTTCTACACCATTAAAAGTTATTCACAATTGTTATCTTTTGTGAGGATATCATAGATTATCCCATCACTCGGATGTGTCAGAATCTTCTTAATCAATACCCAAATGTTGGACAGCTGCAATTTTTCGATCTTACAAGTAATGCTGAGATGAATAGTTTCATGTTATGTATTCTTTTTAAGGCCTTGATGCAAATGTCTCTAGCATTCCAGTTATTTTTAACAAAATGATTTTTACATCAGTAGTACGTCAAACAATCACCAACTGGTGATTTATGACTGGGAGCCGAGACATCTTGTTTTCTCATCCCACGCCTTTGATACCCTGCTCTGTAAACCGAGGGCAAACCACTTCACTCCATTTATAAAGTAAACTGATTGTATTAGATGATTTTTAAGGGTCTTTCCAACACTAACCTTCAGTGATGTTTTTCGCTCACCATCATAGCTAATCAATTAACCTGTCAAGCTAGTCATTAGAAGTCCTGCAAGTCACATCAAAGGCACTTAACATTTAAAAATCCATCCGCTTCTCTCCGTCCTCACTCACAGTGCCCCTTATACAGGCCACATCACTGTTCATCTAAATTGTGAGGGAGTATGGAGTGCAGACAGAGATTAGGTTCTAAAGTTAACAGTGAAATCCAAAATCAAGAATAGGATTAAATGAGGTATGTGGGAAAGCATGAGGCTGGCACAGAGGCGATGCTCAGTACATATTTCCTACACTGCAATCTGAAACCAGATTCTAGAGGCCCACCTAGAGCCTGTTCCTTAAATGTTGGAGTGGCGTTCACAATGAGGCATCAGAGGTGATGTGCCCTGCTGTGAGCCAAGCCCTGCCCCAGACACAGGATGCTGTGGGAAGACAAAGACTCAGCAGCTTCCCCTAAAAGGCTGACAGTCTAGAGGGGGAGACAGGAACCCCTATACGCAAAACAAGCATGCCTCAGGCGGTGTCTTCAATGGAAAAACCAGATGGAGAACAGAAAATTATCTGAGCAATTCAGGCAAGCCTGCTGTTGAGGAAAAGGCTTAACGAAATTTGTTCTACTATTTCTTTTGTGAACCAAGGGTTTAGGGCAGTCTAGGGAAGCAAAAGTACTGGGGCTCTAGAAAGAACAGAGTTCTGGCCCATGCTCTATAATCTTAAGCAAACCATGAAGTCACTTTTTGATCTCAGTATCCTCACTGGTCAAATGGAGACAGAGTAATACCAACTTGCCCAAATCTAACCACCCACTGGACTGCGTTGTTGTGAGGTTGAGTATGTCGATCATGGATGGGGAAAAGTTATTAAATGGGGCAATCTAATAGCCACAAAGGCAACTGAAAATGTGTCTCCTAAGATCCTACTCCTCAAGCAAATGCTTAGTAATCAGAAATAACATTTGTACTGAACTTTATCATGTGTAAGGCAATTTTAGGTGCATTTATTTTGTTTTCAAAGCCCTGTGTGGTAGGTACTATCATTTGCTCCTTTCGCACTCAAGGATACTGAGATTGAGGGGGTTTAAATAACTTGGTCAAATTTACACGATTTGGGAGGGCCAGAGTTAGGCTGACTCCTTGGTCCTCACTATTCCTCCACATGGTGCTGCCCCCCCATTAAAATCCTGATCACCATGAGTACACCAGTCATGATGAGCACCAGGCGATGAATGGAAGCGTCAAATCACTATATTGTACACCTGAAACTAATGTAACACTGTATGTGAACTATACTGGAATTAAGTTTTAAAAAATCCTCATCCCCCAAACACTAATATTATTAACATAAATATTAATAATGTTTGTTATATACATTTCCCTTTTATCAAGGACATGAAAACATCAAAAGAGAAGCTCTGAAAAAAAAAAATGCCTGACATGCAAGAACAGCAAGTTTACTTTCTCCTACTAAGAAAGAGTAGCTGTCCCCATCTGATTTGCATTTTATGCCATACAGCAGGAAATATTTAAGTTGACAAATAGGATATTTACAACTGCAACAGATAACTTGGCAGTTAGTTTTTAACAATTGTTGCAAATGTGATTTATTTGCTATTATAAAAGGGCATTACTGTGCAAATATGACTCCTGAAATTAGCTTCAGTTTAGCAAGGGGCCTTGACAGCTTGACCTCTTAATATCCTTATAATGATGCCATTTACATTCAATGCTTACTCAAGTCACTCACTGCTAGATATTTTTGAGAGGAGTCCACTCTAGGGCAGATGTACTATGTATTTTAACATATAGAGTTGGTGTGTGGGGCACATGGAGGCTTTCTAAGAGGAAAAAATGTTTAATCAAGTCTTCATGAAAATGTGTTCATTTCCAACTTCCTACAGTGAAAATGCATTACTGCTAATTACAGTATACTCCAGAAATACAATACTTCATGTTTTCTCGATAAGACACTTTCATGGCATGGATTATACTAAACAAGGGCATGTTTTCACCCGCTGCAACTTTAGCTTTTAATGTGACTGGGAAACTACTACAGTTGAGGAATGGCTGGGCCCAGATCAGTGCCGTCTCCGCCAGCAGGGAATGGGAAAAGGGTGGACTTGGAGCCAGAGAGAACTGGATTCAAATCCCAGCACTGCCACTTCCTGGCTGTGTGGACTTAGGTATCTCTCTGAACCTGTGTTTTTTTTTTAATCTATGACATGGGACTGTTATTTTTTAGGTTATTATAAAGATCTGAGATGTTTGGGAAGCACCTGGCACTTGGTACTTGATACACGGGAGCCAGTCATATTTGTGTTGCTTGTCAAAGCTCAGATGTCACCTTCTCCGTGATGCAGCCCTGACTTCGCTAGACAAACTCAGTTTGTCCTTTCTGCCTCAGTAGTACTTTGTTCCATCCCTTTATTATATCAAGTATTACACTGTGTTGTAAATGACTGAATACGTATGTATCCGTCTTCCCCTCCTTGGCAGCAGGACCTGTGCCCATCTACCTTTGACTCTCCAGTAACTAGCACAATCATCTTGAACTTGCCTTCACTAGCCTTGAGCATTGAACTGGGGATGATTCTGGGGGTGCTTCCGTATTCAGTGTGGGGGTGAGTGGTGACAGGCAATTAGGTGGTCTGATGGTCTGCCTCAGGAGAGGAGAGAGGTAGCACATGACCCACTTCTGCCATCTCCAGTTTATAGTAGATGCTCAGTAAATATCTGTCAAAGGAATTAATGGACTTACGTAGTTATTGAGTGGCTTACAGTAACTTATTGCTCACATATGTCTATTTTTCAAAGTCTTTTAATTTTTATTGCATCATAGTATTCTTCTAATAGCCCTGCTGTTCAGTTAGGGTGGGTGTTCCCACAGTTTTCATTTCCCAGTTGAGGATACTGTAGCACCGTGGGGTGGCAAAATGACTTTCCCACACTCGTGACAAATGGGGGGAGCGCTAAGACTTACAGGCCAATCATGAGTGTCCCTAAAGTTTCATAGTGAGATTTCCTGGCACTGCTTTTTCTGAAATCAAAGCAAACTGCCCTTTTCTCCTATTCACTCCCTCTTTCTCCCTTCTGTCTGCGCCTTTTTAGTTCCCCATCCTCTGAAGCTTCTGTCCAGTCTCATTTTTCTCAACAGAAAACACTGCACAACTGGGGAACTCATACAGGGTAAGGACTGGCTGGGTCAAGACCAGTGTCATCTTCCTTCTCCTAAAAATGGCAAACCACAGGGGGGAATCAAAGTCCCCATGAGCCTTTTGGAATGGGGCATCTCCAACAGATTACCTTGGCCGGGTGTTTTAATTTTTGTAACTTCCCATAAGAATGTTCAATCTTCTAATTAGAATCAGATTGGAGGCTCTGTCCTTCAATTGAAGGAAGTAGAAACAGAAGCAAAAACATCTACTCCACTCAGTCATGGGTCTGACATGGTTTGGACTGGTTAGGGTTGGTTGGAGCTTTCTCTCCAGGTTGTTGATCTCACCTTCACTTCTGTGGCTCCTGTTTTAATCAGGTGTGGGCAACAGGCCTCAGCCTCTCCTACAGTGACCAGCTGGCCCTGACTCAGCTCACCTTATACCTGACCAACGGCCATCTGGATTGCAGTCTGAGCGCCCTGAAAGTGCCCTTTGTTCCCAAGAAAGAGAAGAAAATGAGCTGCCTTAATGCCCTCTCAGTGCCGGTAAGCAACAGATGCTTCCTGATGCCCCATGGTGTTCAGCAACACTCAACCACCACTTCCTGAGCTCTGGCTATGTGCCCAGCTCTTTGAGTATAGAGAGAAGAAAGAACCTCAGACAAGTCACTTAGCCTCTCCAAAACCGGTTTCTGGAGTACAAGTGTATTGGCCAGAGGAAAGGGGAGAGAGCATTCCAGAAAGGGAAGGCACCATGTTGGAGGGATGAAAGAGCATAGGTTTTTCCAAGGGTGGGTCTGTTGGGACATTTCCCTCCATTTCTTCTCATCTCCCCAAGCCCTGGACAAGTTCTTCAATTACCAGCAACTTCTGACAAAACCCATATTTTTCTAGCCCCAATCTTGTTTTTGAGCTCCAGACTCCCAGATTCACCATTCTACAGAACTTCTCTAGAGTCCTCAGGGTCAAGCTGTCTCAAACTGCATTCATCATCTCTCCTCCCCCTGTACTTCCTCATGGTAGGTCCTGCCAGAGACTGATGGGACCCCTCCACCCCCACATCCAGTCAACACCAGCTCATGTTGTTGCTAGCCTCGACTCTGACCCTCCTCTCCCTCCACAGAGACACGGCCTTAGTTTTGCTCTTCACTAAGATTCCTTACCTGCTGTCCCTCCCCTCAGCCTAACCATACATACAGCCAAGATGGTCAAGGTGAAAAGCAAATCTGAGCATGTTGCTCCCCTACTTATGATTTTGAAATGATTCCTGTCATCTTCAGGAAAATCCCAGCTTCCCAGCTGTGTGAAGGAGGGCCTTCATGATCTGCCTCTTTCTGCGGCCCCAACCTCCCATCTCATCACTAGCTCCATTGCTAGGGTGGCTGGATCCAGCAGTCTTGGGGCTGGTTGAGGTTTACCAACCTTAGAACCCAGGGCAACAAAATACAAATCTCCATGGTGACAGTGAACTAGGTCGGTTGGTTTTGGGAAGGGAGAACAAGGGTCTAGTGGACCAGATGGCCCTTTATATACATGGAATATGGAAGCAGAAAGGGGCTCAGGCTACAGCTGCTCTGACTGCTGCCAGAGGGTTTCTTCTGCCTCTCCTACAGTGGGCTTCATACCCTTTTGGCAAATGAACATCTACTTGAGATGCTAATATATCAAACAGATAAAAGAGGAATTTCAGTGGTTAATAGGACCCACACTAGTGCCCTAGAGATACTTTTTCAGAGCAGTATCTCCTGCCTGTCTGCTGAGCCTCTTTGGAATCCCCTTGATCTCTTTGCTTATTGAGAAGCAGAGTTGGTCTCTCCCTCTCCCTTTGCCCTTCCCCCTGTGTGCATGCTCTCTCTCTCAAATAAATCAATCAATCATAAATCTTTTTTTAAAAAGGGGGGGAGGGCGCCTGGGTGGCTCAGTTGGTTAAGCGTCCGACTCTTGATTCCTGCTCGTGTCATGGTTGTGAGACTGAGCCCCACATCAGGCCCTGTGCTGGGCCTGGAGCCTACTGAAAATTCTCTCTCTCCCTCTCCCTCTGCCCCTCCCCCTGCCCGCATGTTCTCTCTCTCTCAAATAAATAATCTTTTTTAAAAAAGAGAGAGAGAGAAGCTGAGTTGGACAGGGGAGGAGAACAGGTCCCTTTTAATTAGGTCCCAGGACCTCGCTGAGAATCAACCAAGTCCAACTCCACCTGTGGCCCCCATCCTCACTAAAGGGACCTACAGGACCCTAAGTTCAATGCTGGATGGAGGACAGCAGTAAAACTTGAGCCTTGTGGCCTAGCAAACCTAACTCCATGCCATTTCTAAAAGGAAGCTGGAAGCTGAGTTAGTATTCAATTCAAGACTTTCCAAGACAAGTTGCTACATTTAAGGATGTTGCTTCAGAAGGCTATAAGCAGAAGTTGTACTCTGAATTAGAAGCACTCTCCCATTTTCCCCATCTTGCCTGTAGGTTTCAATCCTAGCTACAGGCAACATACGGGAATTCTCCTGTGATCAAGACTCTTAAACACTTCTAGGAATTGCCTACACTCAAGAGGGAAGCATTAGGATCTTCAATAATTCAAATGTCTCTACAATCACTACTAAAGAAAAGCTATGCAGGTTTTCTGATGTATGGATAAATTGAAAGTGCTTGTGGCTTTAGAAAGATAAATGGATGTTCTCACCCTGGTGCCACTGTGCATGTGTGCATGCGTGGGCTTCCATGCATGCGTACACACAGGATAGGCCATTTTTAAAAGAAGCATCCATACTTACACACACAATGCAATTTACAACCAAACCAAAGCTTCCTGAACAAGTGTGAATAGGCTGTGATGCCATCAGGTTTATAATCAGTCAGCTGACAGCCCCCTTTGAAGACTGAAGAAAAAGGAAAGGCACCAACGTACCCACAATGATAAAGAGGGCACATTCAGGACTAATGCCTACAAAATGCTTCTGCTTTGAGCCTATTCCTTTAAATAATCTGCTGTGCAGGGGGGAAGCAAAGACTCTTCTGGGCTCTACAAAGAGTTCTTGTCCCAAGTCAGAGACAGGTGGCAAAGAACTGTCATCTAGAGCCAGTCGGGCCAGGTGCAGGGGCTTCTGCCCCAGTGTCCTCCACAATTAACCACTTGAAGTCAGAAACCAAGTCAGATGAGTCCCAAAGATGCATGTTTTAGAAAAGAAAACAAGTTACCTAACAACATTTTAAACTTTTAATTAACACTCTGTCAGAATGAGGATAAAGCACTATCCTTTTCAATTGTTTTCACTCCTCCTCTCTCTCTGTGGACCCTCCGCGCTACAGGTGGGCGAACGGCCAAAAGGGACCATATCTGCAAACATCTTAAAACAGCCCACGTCATTTATAAGCATTTTAACAGCACATGATCTGTAATGAATGATTAAGTAAAACCTTTTGTGTTAAATTATGATGTTAATAATGATTCTGTCTCCTGTAATTTATTATGAATTCTCAAATGCTTCGGGTTTGATTTTGATAGAATGCCACAACAACAGAGTTTATGTGATGACTTTATTTTTAGAACTCCTTCTTTGAAGGCACACATTTCCCCACTACTGCTGCTACTGTAATTATGTACAAAACCAATCACTCATTAGAGTTAGGATACATTATCTTCCAGACAGATGAGGCTAAATAAGCAACACATTAATAATTCAGAGAGGAGTTCATTATGCATGTGGATGCCTGCTTCGTAACTGAAATAAGAACCTCATCAGCCTCTGCCAACCTTTAAACAATAGTTCTGTGTTATTGCGACCACATTCAAGTTTACGCTTGTTAAACTGCTACTTGGATTATTTTATCAAACATTCATTTATTTGTGGTCCCTCACTGCCGAGAACAGATTTTGGAAGCTCCTTTTTTAAGTTAATGATTTGAGCAATGGGTGTTATTAATTCTCAGAATATTATAAACATGATTAATTTTCAGGCAGAGATTTATTACATAAGGATTTCAACTATGTCAACTGAAATGCATCACTGTCAAAACAAGTATCATGGCGAAAATAGAATATGCTCCACACTTCAAGTGCTGGTGCTCAGAACTAAATCAATTTAAATTGTGGCTGAAGCAAAATTATATTCTCCAGTGAAAAGGAGTATTTCAAGCTTCCTTTATTTGGCTTGAAGCATTCTTGTTAGATTGTGATTTAGAAAGGTAGTTTAATAAGACTAGACTTCTACCGATAATATTTTCTCTTCTATTTTTTTCCCCGTTTTACCAGAAAAGGCTAGCCTCTGAAATGTCCACACATTCCAAATGTAGCCAATGGGAATTTGGAGTGAAGAGCACTGGTCTGAAAGTTACGGATCATGAATTCTGATCTCTCTCTGCCTCAGTTTCCTCGTTTGTAAAATAAAGGACGGCTAAGTGACTGCCAAGGTCTCTTGAGGGATTTGATTTTATGGGGCCTGTTAAATAGGTCTCTCTCTGTACCAAGCCTAGCCCAGGCAGCCTCATGCACAGTGGGGTGCTGAGGGGGCCATCTCACTGTCTCCTGGAAGGGGATGCAGCAAAGGCCCATCCCTCCATACTGCAGCCTTTCATTAAAAGGTCTTTTTCCTGCAAAATCTTTTAGAAATAAGTAATATTGTTGTGAGAAGTCTCATCCTAAGTCCTCATCAGCCATCACCTTAGCTATCAGTTAATACTCCTGACAGGCACCAACTAGAGGTAAATTCAGCAGACTTAACACCTATACCATGTCAGGTACTCTCCTAAGCCCAAAGGATGTAACGATTAAGCAGCAAAGAGCTCCAAGTTTATCAGAAGACACAGATAGGCCAACAAATAACTATAATACATATAATAACATGATAATAACATCCAAAATGTGTTAAGCCTTTATTCTACACCAGGTACTGTAACTAAGTGCTTTACATGAATCTTTATACAACCCAATATACTAGGCAGGTGTTATTATACTCACCTTTTTTTTAAGAGAGGGCACATGCTGTGTGTGGGGGCGGAGTGGGGTGTGGGCAGAGGGAGAGAGAGAGACTCTTAAGCAGGCTCCACACCCAGCATGAAGCCCAACTTGGGGCTTAATCCCACGCCCCTGAGATCAAGACCTGAGCCAAAATCAAGAGTCAGATGCTTAACTGACTGAGCCATCCAGGCTGAGCCACCCAGGCTATTACGCTCATTTTTAGATAAGAAGACTGAGGTTAAGAAATGTCAAGCACCTTGTGGAAGGTCCCTCAGCAAGCAAGAATGGAAGCCAGAATTTAAGCCCAGGCCTGCCAGACTTTAAAGCCTATGTGTCTGACCACTGTTCAGAGCAACCTGCCTGGCACTGGCTGAGAGTCAGTGATTTGGCCCCAGAGTACAGCTTAAGCTCATCCCTAAAGAAGTCTCTGGTTGAGGCCATAGAGAAAGCTCTTTTTCCAAAGGAAGCTTCGTCTCCCTCTGAGATGAGGTTGTTTCCAGGCATACTGCCATTATCCACTGGCTTCTAATCTGCTCTGAGATAGGCCAAGACGCAGCACTGAATGGGACAGATGGTCATGGAGGAGTCTTCTCCTGCTGTAAAATCCATACACAAGGAAAATCCATTAGGTTGTGATTTCCTTGGCAAACCTAAATGGATTTTATACCATCAGAAGAGAGTTGATTACACAAGTCAACCTTTTAAAAACAAGTTTTCTATTTGCATGATGTTTTGTCTTTTAAATTGGCATGAGTTTATTTGACCCCCATGATGACCTCAAGGAATAGATAAGACAGGAATTATCATAACCATTTTACAGATTAGGAAACTGAGGCTATGCAAAGCTAAGTGAGCTGCCCACGGTCATAAAGTTAAATAAGTAGCAAAGCTCAAGCATTCTGATTCAAGGCCCTTTCTGATGAAAAAGTTGGTTGGTTGGTTGGTTTTTATTTTAAATAACTTCTTTGTGAAATTATTTTAACAAATGATAATAAGCGCTAACATTTTTTTACTGTTTCCTCTGTGCCAGACACTGTTCTAAGGTCTTTAGATACTCACCTAACCCTCACGACAACACTGTCACCCCTGTGCTATCAGGCGGAATAAAAGACAACCCTAGACTACCAACAGTTTTTCCCTGTAGAAACTGTGGAGTTACTTAAGTCTAAGAAGAGTAGGTGTATCACATATGTTCATCTTCATTGGCATTATTATAACACATTTACTAAGCAGTTAACATAAGCCAGGAATTTCACCAAGCATCAGGGATACAAAGACATTTGACAAAGTCCCTGTCCTCGAGGAGCTGAAAAGAAATATAAAGTAGATAGCACTACCCAAGGAAAACCCAAGGCCTCATTCAGCACCATTGAGTGATAGCCCCTCAACCTGCTCCTGGAGTTCGTAGGAGAAAGGACTGGGGACTGGGACTGGCAGAGACAGGGGACAACTTACTAGAAAGAGGAAATTTGGCCTGGCCTTATAGACTAGGGCAGTCACTAAGTGAGGAGGGAAAGGAGACCTCCCCAGCAGAAGAGACAAAGGCTGAAGAGAGCCCATGGTCTGTGAGGAGCTAGCAATGAACCAGGTGGGCTGGGGCAGAGAATTTGGGAAGGAGGAAGTAGGAGAAATGGTTGGAGCAATCCCCCGAGCTGGTGCGGGAGAGCCTGCACACAAAGCCCGGTGTCTGCATTTCATCTTGACGGAGGAGACACTGAAGAGTTCTGAGCACTGACCAACCTGGGTCTGAGAAACAATCTTGTGGTAATGCTAGAATCCCAGGTACCAGCGGGGGGAAGGAACAGCCTAGGAAATTACATTTAGTGGAGGTCCAAAATGCTCCGAGCCCTGTAGACGCTTTCAAAGAAAGAGCAACAATATTTATAGCTACCATTCATCAGGTGCCAGGTGCTGTGCTAGGTGCTTATTTAATCACCAAAAGTCAGAGCAGTTAAATGACACATTCAAGGTCAGTCGGGTTTTGAACTTCAGTCTTTCTGACTCCATATAACTTTTTCACCACAGAATTCTCCTTGCATTCCCACCTCCCAAGTAGGAAGGAGAAGCAGCTGTCCAGGCCATAAAGCTCTGGAGTAGGATGGCAATGGTGATGGAAAAGACACAGCTTGGAGACATAGAGCAAATATCCTGGCTTTTCTTTCAGACTCTTTATGAATCTTAATCCTAGGTCTGGGAGAAGGGGGAACTGCAGTTTGTCTCTGTAGAGAAGAAGAAACCTCAGGATAGCCTCTCCTTACTTGTTGTCCAGCAATGCTAGACAGTGAGCTTGGAGCCAAGATACACAGCAATGAACGGGCTCCTGCTGCCAGAGGCCTGCCTACCTCTCTTCCTTGCTGACTGGGGCCTAGTCTTGGGCTTGCTGGTTTATATCCTATGGCAGCATAAGACAAGTTTAAAAGACAAAAATAACCTTGGAACTATCTTGTGAATTCATGGTAATCACCACGCAATTACATGCTCAGTAACCACAATGGAATTCCAGAGTATTTACAGTTCTCTTCCATATGCAAAAGCTCAGGTTTCTGGGCCTTCATTGTGAAGGCAGGAACATGGCGCAGCCTGCCATGAGAGGGTGCGCAGGCCTGGAGGTCACGCTCCTCCAGACTGACTGAACAGCTGAGCCAGCACCTCTCTTAGCTGGTTCTTATTACCCCACTAATAACTCTACCATGTCCACCAGAGCTACACTGTCTTCCAAAAGATAGCCTACCGGGGGCCAGGCCTGGAACCCCTGAGCTACCATTGTCCGGGGATTTCCTGTCATTCCCTAGGGTCTGCTTCTGCCCCAAAGCACTCACTGACTAGACATCCCCTGAATTACACTGGAAGAGTCTCTTCAGTCAGAGGGAAGTGCTATAGACATACCTTACTACATGCATCCATCCATCCATTCTTTCGTTCAGGAAACACTGAATGCCTGCTCTGTGGGGCATCACATCCAGCCTGGGGATTTGGAAACCAAACAGTGCCTGCCTTCTTCAGAGAACTCCCGTCATGTCAGGGAAGCAGCCAGGGGAACAATCCATGATAGGTCAGAGTGATCACAAGGTACAGTTGTGAGGCATGTGAAGGTCCAGATTTTTTTTGGCACAAATAAAATGTTCAGTGACTACAAATGGGACAATACTAATGGAGATGTACAACTCAAGATGCATTAGCCTGTGGGAGCCTAATATTTTTATAGACGTGGACTCTGCCTATAAGTGGGAAGAACAGGCTTAATAGTACTGAAAACATTATCATCAGATGCAGTATTTTCTGCAAGTGTTGAAGGAAAAGACAATATATGTGGGGAAATATGTCACAGAAGATGAATGTGAAATCTGAGAAAGAGAGAGAGAAAGAGTGTGTATATGCTTACGTGTTATGTGGGCAGGGAAAATATGTTCATCTGCTGTGCACTCAGTCAGCCCCAGTTCCTTGCATTATCTCAGAGATAGAGAGGGCAAGCCTTGACATTTCACAACAATGTGAGGCCATTATGATCCTTGCAGCCAGCTGTGGATCAACAGCACCTCCTTTTCCTTCCCCGGTTCCAAGTCACTGCACAAGGGCAAGCACCTGGTTGCCCCCACACCCAAGGACCCCCAAAGTTCAAAATCTGTGCCAGGTACCTTCACTTTCTATGCCCTAAGGTTGGCCACAACCCTACATGCTGTTCTCCAAATTTCTGGTTCTCCAAGGATAAACGTAGCTGATTTTCAAAGACAAACATCACATCTCACAAAGGACATGTTACAAAATTGCCAGGATCAAATACTTTCTTTTGTATGTACTCAATTTTAAATGTTTTTAGGAAATACTATAATTGAAATACTTCAGGCCTAACATAACCAGTCTCTTCGGGATAACTCCCACTGAGAGGCACGCAAGATACAGAATGGCACTTTCTCAAGCAAAGAAAGCAACTGGCATCAAAATTCTAACATTGGTCCTCTCAAGAAGGCAGACTCCCCTAGTGACTTGTTTCCAAAGAATGTAGTACAGAAACAGGTAAAAGTAACTTTACGGTGAGAAACCTGGCAAAGACGACCTTGGTGAGATCAAAATTGGCATTGTCGATGGTAAGTCATGTTGATACATGTACCCTTGATACGAAGTGATCCTATGGTGGTCCTTTTCTCAAAAAACATGTTACACCAGTCTAGTTGGGAGAAAACCATCAGACAATACCAACAGAGGACCTTCTACAAAATACCTGATCTGCACTCCTCAAAACTGTCAAGATCATCAAAAACAATGAAAGTCTGAGAAGTTGTCACAGCCCAAAAGAACCGAAGGAGACATGACAACTAAATATAATGTGGTATCCTGGATGGGATCACGGGACAGAAAAAGGGATTTAGGAAAAACTAATGAAATCCAAATGAAGAACAGACTTCAGTTAACAGTGATGAGGCAATTTGTTTCCTCCTGGGACAAACGTACCACAATGTTAATAGGGGGACAGGAACCCTCTGTATTATCTTCACAGCTTTCCTGTTAACCTACAACTTTTCTAAAGTTAGGAGCTTACTTACATATCTTATAAAGAGTCGTATATGCAGCTGTGGTCTTTTCTAGGCATCAGCAACCATTCGCTATGCAGTGATGACTACCCAGCTGAAGCACAACAATCTCTCGCTGGTTTTCCACTATGTTTTCCTCCAGATGTGTAAGGCCCATGGCATCGGCTATGACATTGAGGTATGCAGCTGATGGTTGGTGGGTGATCCAGGCAGCTAGTAATTCAGTGTCCCTTCAGACGGATATTTTTGAAACATTAGTTTAACCTGTATTTAGAGGAAGGCTGAGCGCTGCCCGAGGCAACTCCACAGGGGGGTGGCTCTTGGTCTGGGGAAGTTTAGCTCGGTCCCACCTTGGTAAAGCAAAAGCCCTGTAGCTCACCTGACTTAGGAGACATTTGGGGGACCATCTCTTGATCCTGAAGCATGTCCTGAGTTCCCTGACCCCATTCAGAGCTGCTTATCAATGAATATCCTGTCTCAGTCTGCTTGAGCTGCCATAACAAAATACCACAGACTGGGTGGCTTAAACAACAGAAATTTATTTCTCACCCTTCTGGAGGTTGGGAGGTCCAAGGAGAAGGTACCCAGCCAATTTGGTTCCTGGTGAGAGTACTCTTTCTGGCTTGCAGATGCCACTTTCTTGCTGTGCCCCAACATGGCGGAGGGAGAGAGAGAGAGAGATCTCGGGTATCTCTGTAACCTCTCTTATAAGGACACCAGGTCTATTGGAACAGGGTCCCATCCTTTGACCTCACTTAACCTTAATCACCTCCTTAAAGGCCCTATTTCCAATACAGTCACATGGGGGTTAGGGCTTCAACATATGAATCTGAGGGGACACTCAATTCAGTCCATGGCATCCTTCAACCTCCATATAGTAGTTTCTTCCCAGGAGGAGTTCTGATTAAAAACAAAAACAAAAAAACAGTTGTTCCCATTTTGGTCTGTTGCCAATGATACTGATGGTTCCTTTCCAGCTGCTTCATTCTTAATGTAGCTGGATGAGGGCAAACGGAATGTAATATCTCCTACCTAAACTAGAACCTCCATTTTGTGCCTAGAGACTCCTGCTACTCTGAGGAAGTTTTGTGATTTTGCAGTTTGATTCAGATTTTCAAATCTCTGACACGGAAGGCTAAGAGATCCATGCACTCTTAGTTGTGGAAGACCAATTCCACATGACACCACACATATTAAAATATAGTCACCTCTCATATTAAAAGTGATTTGTAGATAATGACAGAATTGAGCAACAACCAACTGATCAAATGTTTTAATTTGCAGACATTCAGTTCTACATTTATTAATTTTCATTTCTCGTACTTGAGAACAAATACAATTTTTTAGGGATCAGTTCTTTTTATAGGCTCTTGAAAAGCATGTAGACCTTAGGCACGAGGCCAACAGTGAATAGAATGGCCCAGCTACCACTGGGCAATCCTGCCACACTGCAGGGCACCGCCAGAATGCATAAGGCTCTTGGGTTAGATTGATTCATGCTGTTTGCAAACAAATACAAAGGAGCTCATATTCCCTTACAAATTATGTTAAAACTGGTAAAATATAGGAAAGAATGAAAAAGCCAGATTGAACTGATTTACCTGAAATTAATTGTTACATCTGCTCTACAGAATCCTTTTGGAATTAAATAGTTTTTAGCCCCAAACTGATTAGACCGAAACACTTCCATATGCCAGAAGGTGGCTAAATCTAATGTTAGCTTTCTCGGAATCTATTTTATTTCATTTTCTTCTAAAATATCAAAGCAGAACAAGATCTGTGAATAGGCATATTTGGCAGGGAAAGTCTCCTGCCCAGAAGAAAATATCCTCCCTAACTTTTCTATTGCCTGAAATTATTATTAGAGATTTATTTCTTTGGCTAAAGGCTTTCTACTTGATTGAAGTTTCTAGTATTTCTGGGAAAAATAAAGCACCAAATTTTATATGTTATTTACACCTTTGTGGCTGAGTCGACCAGATTAATTTCTAAGAAAAATTTTAGTACAAAAAACAGACTGCTATGACCCCAGGGGAACAGCGGATGGTGCAGAGGGAGGGGGTCCACTGAAGGTGAGGAGAATGCCAGAAAGGAGCAGAGAGGCACCCACAACATGACTGGCTCTGTCTCTAGGTCACCTGTGCTACACACCCCACAAAGGGTGAGAGCAGAAATGGGGAAGAAAGAGAAATACTGACTGGGAGCAATGGAGGGACAGAACAATATGAAGAAGAAAAGAGAGAGGATAAAATCCAAACACAGAAAGAATCCACCGAACGGGGGGAGGTGGGGACAAAGAGAAAGAAAAAGAAAAAACAATAAAAAGAAAGTACGAGAAAAGAGTCAGAGATGAAAAACATGACGTCCTAAAACTCTTAAGGTGAGGTAAAGGAGTCATTGGAAATTCTCCAACAATGTCCTTGCTCCAGTTTTCCTGAAACAGGTTCTCGTCTTTCCAGGATCCATTCCTGGTCTGAACTGTCCTCTTGCTCTCTTAACTGCCTTTTCCTGAAGAGACAGGTAATCAATCCGCATTTGCAGAGCACCCACTGCGCGCTGGCCACCAAGCGAAGCACTAACTCCATTACCACTTCAACTTTCCCATCTCTTCTGTAAGAAGCTATTATTTCTCCCAGATTACACTCAAAGAGTGTCAGCACTTTCCCAAGATCACACAGCCAGGCACTTTGTGGAACTAACATTTGAGTCCATAAAGTCAAACATGATTCTTTCTCTTACACCAAGGGTGTCCTCTATGTATCTTTTTCCCCCTAAGAACTATTTGTATTTTCTAAAATATTATTACCAATCCAGTCCAGGAATACTGGGAATAATTTCAAATAAATATTCCATCTAGGCACCCCTTATGTATTCTTCAGCTAAAGGAGCACAAACTTCTCTGTAGCCCCCAAGTCTCTCTACCTTACAAAAGATGGGAAAAAAGCTGTGTTTAATACTTAACTTCTCTAAACCATTATTGCTTCCATGAGTTATGCTAAGTCTAAAAAGACGAGTGTAGCCTCCACTACCCGCTGCCATTCTTGGTCAAATTTAATGTGGGTGCTCTTTCCAGAAAAAGAAGTAACATTAATAATACATCATTGTCAATATTACCAAAAGAATCCTCCAAAGTCCTTGTTCTCGACAGTTATGTCTTTCTTGCCATTATGATCACAGAATTTCCAATGTTTCTTGTCCAAACTCTGAAGGGGAAAAAAGGGAAATAAGATCACCTCACAAGTGTATTTTCCTTGCTGAATATTGGAAGGAAGCATTCCAGAGTTTGTAAGCAATTTGGTGGGTCTCGTTCTTGGTATTTCTGTAATGCGACAGAATACCCCCACTGATTTCCTAATGAAATGAAGTTGTAATGAAAAGCCATATGGAGAAAAGTGTCATGTTTACTGCCTGCAACAGTGTGGGGCAGGGCTGGTCTCACACACACATAGGCAGTGTGCCATGGTCCTAAATAGCTCCACAACCACCAGTGATCATTTCCTCAGGCCAGGGTACTGCCACAGTGGCGGTCATTAGGACTTTTCACAAATGTTCTGATTCTCCTCCTTCTAGGCACATACCAGGCTTATACTCCCTCAGCGCTCTCCCTGAAGTCAAGTATGGCCATGTAACTTACTTGGGCCTGTGAACTATGAGCAGAAGTGATACATGTCCTTTCTATGCAGAAGCCTGCAAGAGCCACTTCATGAGTCGTCATGTCCTTTTTCCTGCTTTAGAAATCATGGAAGCACACTGAGACAGAGCTCCCTTTGTCTGGGTCCCTGGGTGTACCAACAGTGACCAGAGACCCATGCCAGCTCATGTAGGAAATGGGGTACAAGCAAGAATCACATATTTGTTGTTATAAACAACTAAGAACTGAGTTGGTTTTTTTAAATTATTGTAGCATCACCTAGCCTACCTGATTGATTCAGAAATCAAGAAAAGGATGCTCCCCAAACAGAAAATTATTTCAACGTGTAATCAGTATAAAAGTTATTAATGACATATTTTACATTTTTTATACCCAGCCTTTGGAAGCTACAGCACATCTCAATTTGGACTACTCATATTTCAAGTTCTCAGTAGCCCCATGTGGCTAGTGGCTACCATATTGGGCAGCACAGAAACGGATGCAGGATACCTTACAGATCATCTAGTCAGTGGTTCTCAACTCTGGCTGCCCATTAGACTGACCCGAGTGAGGAGCTTTAAGAAGTACAGATGACCAAGCGGGCCCGGGGTTAGGATGAGGCAAGTGAGGCCCGTACTCAGAGCACAGAATTTAAGGGAGCACAAAAAATTCTCTGTAATAAAGATAAAAATATTGTAATGTATTATTTGAAAAACCAAAATTGATGCAAAAAAATCCATGGCCAACAAAATATTATAATTTTAAATTAAAACATACTAATTTTTCCTTTGCCTCAGGCTCAAATATGGCTCAGCATGACACTGTACTTCAAGCCCACTCTAGTATTTCTGGAGGTAGGGCTCAGGCATTATATTTTTTAAAGCACTCAGAGATGCTTCTAATGTGCAGCCAGCATTGAGAGCCACTGTTCTAATCCAATGCCTGTCCTAATGCCCATGTTTCCTGACAAAATGAGGAGTCAATAAGCAGTCTTAATTCTGGCATGTAATTTCTTTTATCAAATATCAAAAATAGTTCTTTTTTGGACTTCCCATGATGAGGAGTTCATGACTTCATAGGGCAGTCATTTCCACTACTGGACAACTCCAGTGTTAACTTTTTATTTACTTGGAAAAAACTAAAGAATAGTTTTCAAAAAAAGATAAAATCATGCCTCTCATACAGATGCAAAAATAAAAACATGATATTTTACTAAACAGAGAAATTAGACAGATGTTATAACCAGTATAAAAAAGAATCCAAAAAACCCAGACACCTTTATACGTCAGGAATACTGAAATGGATATGCAAATGGAGAGAAAACTGGTTTTTTTCACAAGGGGAGCAGATGAGGAAAATCAACTGAATCTTTCCCAGACTGGAGAGAATTTGTCTCTCAGTCACTTAGGACTTAGAGTTGTAAATATCTCCCATAGAATCAAGGCAATAGGGTGTGCCATAGACCACATACAGTTTTCCATTGAAATACAAATTATTTTCCACACAACAAATTGCTTCCCTCTGTATTTTTACCCATTGCTCTCAGAAGAGTGGTTTTCAGATTTTGATTTGCAGGAGAATCACCCCGGAAGTGAGCTAAAAAGCAGATTCTCTCCCAAAGATCTTGAGTTTGGATGATGCCTATGAAAATGCCTTTTTAACAACCACACTCGATGATTCTGATGCAGGTGTTCTGAGGATCGTATTTCAAAAAAACACTGGCCTAGACAAGAGATAACAAGTTTTGGTGCAGATATGGAGAAAAGGGAACCCTTGGGAATGTTGGTGGGAATACAAATTGGCTCAGCTCCTGTGGAAAACAGTGTAGGGGTCCCTCAAAAAATTGCAACTACAACCACCATATGATCCAGCACTTCCACATCTGGGCATATATCTGTAGGAAACCAAATCAGTATCTCAAAGAGATATCTGTACCCCCATGTTCATTGCAGCATTATTCACAATAGCCAAGCCATGGAAATAGCCTAAGTGTCCACTGATGGATGAATGGATAAGGAAAATGTGATATATATATATATATATATATATATATATATATATATATATATGATGGAATATCATTCAGTCATGAGAATGAAGGAAATCCTGCCATTTGCAACAACATGGGTGGACCTTGAGGGCATTACGCTAAATGAGATAAGCCAAACAAAGACAGTGTATGATATCACTTATATTTGGAACTAAAAAAGCTGAGCTCAGAAACTGAGATGAATGGCGGTTATCAGGCTGGGAAGAGGGGAAATTGCAGAGATACTGTTAAAGGGTACAAACTTGCAACTAGTTGATAAATAAGTTCTGGGGATCTAATGCACAGCATAGTCATATAGTCAACAATACTGTATTAAATACTTCAAAACTGCAAAGAGACTAGATCTTACATGTCCTCACCACAAAAAAGAAATGATAATTATAGAACGTGACAGAAATGTTAGCTAAGGCTACAGTGGTAATTATATCACAATATATAAATGTGTCTTATCGAGGTATCTTTGTATACCTTAAACTTACACAATGTTATATATAAATTGTATCTCAATTAACAACAGCAACAATAAGGTCCCAGAACATATCTACTCCACATTCTGGAGACAGCTTTTTCCAAATGTGCTTTTCATAATATTTGAAGGTAGCTCTGGATTTTAATTCCAGTCAGTCTTAGTGGTCTTAGTGCAGTATGTTTTCTTTGCTTCTAAAATAATATGCTATTTCTTTACTCCCCATTCAAATTTTCTAGGACAGACAAGGAACTATTTTTATATTATATGAACACCTGAAAAGAGACAAGTTGGGAATGTTGTGAGTATGAAGTGCGTCTATGAGATGCAATAAGCTACAAAAATAGACTATAACAACCAATAAGAATGCTTCTCATGCATTTTAATCAGCATGCTGATTTATTGGAAGTCTATCTTGTTTTATTTAGATCTTTAAGTATTTCACAAAATGACTTTATGTGTCAGTGGGAGTTCATAAATACAACTGATTAATTATCCAAAATTGATGGGAAAGAGGCTAGTTCCAACAACATATTACACCCAAACACATACACATACAAGGCACAATAAATCTGACTGAGGAGGAACCAGCTCCAACATCCATATTGTAGAAGGGCAGTTGTCATTCTGGCATGCTTAGAAAAGTGCTCTGGTGAGTTGGCTGCCTTGACAAGGCAGGGTCCACAGCTCCTCCTCAGCTCCAATTTCAGCCCTGACACATGTATGCTAAGAAGAGTCCTGCTAGCAGCACTCAGGAGGCTGCTCTGTTTCCTGTTTCCTGCAAATTTCCCCCCAGCATAATCTGGAGAGCTAGCAAATTTGTCTTCTGATCTAGGATTCATACTTTAGAGACATAATCTTATTTCATATCTTGGAATATGGCCGTTTGACATCTTTAAATTATCTTAACTTACTGGGAAACCGTTTCTGCCCTGTATCTCTCTTCCTTCTGACTTCTACAGTAGTGTAGACATTGTGGCCTCATATTGAAAGGATTGTACACACTAAGATCTGGTCTCATGAAACACCAAATAAGAGCCAATTCCTCTACTAAGCATCAATGTCCTGAGCAGCCTCAGTTCCCCCTAGGTGCTCAGTCCCCTAGAAACTGGTCCCAAGAGCTGCACACTGAAATGGGCAAAGATAGGCACAGGACAGGTCTCAACTCCCCTTTCCAAAGTGCCGTCCTTTGTTCTACCACAGCACTGTCCGTTACAACAGGCCATCATCAGTGCCTCATCAATCCCTTTGAACGCATGCAAATGTTTTGGTTTGTTTTGGTTTCTTCCCCCTTTGTAGCTGGAATGTTAGGCTAACACTTTAATCTAGTGTTTACAGTCTTAAATGCCTCTCTTCACTTGGGTGGAGAGCTGGCTGGCTGAGTCATCCCCTCCAGTTACCCCTTTCCTCAAGGCCCCATAAACATGTAAAATTTGCTGGGTCAGGTCAGAAGAGTCCCTTCACTGTTTATTTTAGGCTCTCTTCCCCACTCTTTTTTTACACTGCCAGGAGAGCAACAGGAATGAGACAGAACACCCCAAGTACACATTCATCTTCTCTGCCTGGATATTCACATTGAGGAGGAGAATAAAGTCGGAGACACCTCTGTGCATGTGCAGGGAATGAGCTGCCCTTTGCTTCCCAGTGATGTTCTATCCCTCAACTCCCTCCCTGCCCTACCCCATCAGAAAATTCACAAGCGTTTTATCAATGTGCCAGGCACAGTTCTAAGTGTTAGGCATATAGCACTGAACCAAAAGACAAGTCCCTGCTCTCATGAAGCTGATGTGGGGGTGGGTGGACACTCAGTAAATTAGTAAATGAGTTAACATGCCCAGGGCTGTGGCAGGACACAGGCCACCAGGCAGTTACCAAGACTGGGAGAACCAAGCAGTCAGTGGATTTAAAGTTGGCAAGCTGGGGGATAAGAACTTTGTATTTTCCAGAATTATGAGTTTAATTAAGCAGGTAAAGTTCCAGGTCCCAGTACATGTCTAAGCCCAGGAATTCAGACAGATGGGTGAAGTACAAGAACTAGAAATGAGAACACAGAAACATGAACCCTACCTTACCAGTACTGGCTGGCATGAAGGGTAAACTGCAAAGAACAAGTGGGCCAGGACTGGAAAGACACAACCCCTCATGTGCTTGGAGTGAGGCTGGGACGGACAGGACCCTTCAGGTGAAGGGACAAGAGCAGCCAGGGAACCACCTACCCAGGGAGGTCAGGTGCCAGGAGATCATCCCAAGGAGCAACCAGTTCACAGCATCAGGAAAGGTCAATTACAAAGAGTGAAAGGATATCCACAGAGTTAGTTGTGGGGAGCACAACTATAGGAGCTCAAATAGGAGGCTGCTTTTACAGACCCAGGCCGGCAAGGGGATGGCACGAAGACAGAGAGACTGTCGGCTTGAGGCAGAACCCAGCAGAGGCTGACTCGCAGGAGAACTTGTGTCCTAGAACTGACAGGTGAGACAGGGATAATGTGACCAGGGCAGAGGCTGATTTCCCACAGTAGGGGCCACAGGAAGACTTATCCAAGTGGGTACTTGGCCACAGAGGAGACAGGCAAGAGGATAGCATCTGGGAATTTAGGAGACTTCTGAGACTTATGTGAAAAAGGAACTCCCCAATCATCAAACTGATGGAGCAGCAAAATTGGTTTGATGCTGAAGCCTACAGAATGAATAATTAGACTGGTGACAAAGAGGAGTTCACCCAACCATCCTTAACCTTGCTCCTGAGATTTCAAGCAGGAATGCCTTGACCCACAGGCTAGCTTTGCTGGTGGCAATACTCCTAATGGTGTACCTTCTAGATGGTACTGCTACTCACGTATCCTACAGAAAGGGCACTGTTGATTGACATGGGCCTCTTGAAGACTCTAGAGCCTTGTCTACTATTTCCTATATCATCCTTCTCATCCCTTCCTGCAGCCACAGAACCAGAGATTGTTGAAGCAAGGAAGGACCCTGAGGATTAACAGACTCTCATGGTATAGAAAAGAAACTGGGTCTTCAAGCAGGGATGTGGTTTACCAGTATCACACAGTAGCTTGTGTCTCTGGGCCCTGAATCTAGTGTGCTTTTCCAATACCATATGGCTACCTTACGTAGGGAAGCCTATTATGGAAGAGATTCTCATCCTTCTGTGAAATGCATCACTACCTGTGCAAGTTTGTACCAACTTTATTAATTTACTTCTTCTGAGTATTAGGTAGGATTCAGGATTATCCCCAAAATTCTTACTTGCATGCAGCTGTACTTTCTTGACTATGTGAGTAACGGGTGGAATTACAGTTAGTACATCAGGAGTTGCACTAACACGTGGACATAGAGGTTCAGAACAGATGATTTAATAGACAATGACCAGAAAGAGTCTTTGTTTGCTAGAATTCATATTGAAAGAGAAAAGATGAGCTAATACAAACTTTTCTTTGTGTTGTTTGTGTTGGTTTTCTCTGGAGCTTTAAGGAGAGGCTTTTCATGAGCTGGCTGCGCTTTGTTTGGCTTTGTTACAATCAGTTCACATCAGGTGAAGATGTTAGCTACCTCTTCAGGAAAGGGGAGGGCTCCAAGAGGGATGACCTTACAGACCAGAATTCTGTGGTTTGGCTTTGCCAGGATAACTTCATACTGACTCCATTTATACTGGCATATTTCTGGGACTAGCAGAATTCAGGAAAAAATTTCAAGGAAGGAAAAATGAAGGAAATTCTAGAAATGAATTAATAGGGAAGAGGACTTAGAGTCCATCCAGCCTCTTGGTTCACAACCTGGGGACCATGGACCCCAGGAAGCTAAGGAGAGATGACAAGCGGGGCATGAATCCATGTGTGGACCCAGGATCATACACACACACATAAACACACTAATTTTAAGTATGGGCCTCAATCACACACACACACACACACACACACACACACACACCACACCACACACATGAATCAACTGAGGATTTCAGTGAAACTATACATTCCTGGATCCCAAACCCAAAGAATCTGATTTTGTTGATCTAAGGTAGACCCTAGGAATCTGCTGTTTTAAGAAGCACCAGGGTCTAGGGCACCTGGGTGGCTCAGTTGGTTAAGCTACTATCTCCGGCTCAGGTCTGATCCCAGGGTCCTGGGATTAAGCCCCACATTGGGCTCCCTGCTCAGCTGGGAGCCTGCTTCTCCTTCTCCCTTTGCCACTCCCCCTGCTTGTACTCTCTGGCTCTCTCTGTCAAATAAATAAATAAATAAATAAAATCTTTAAGAACCAAAAAAAAAAAAGCACCAGGGTCTAATACATACTGACATATTGACTATGTGGCAATAAAGTACAAATCACTTTTAAAAATTATTGACTCTTAAGTTGCCTTTGGCTATTATTCTCTTAAAAGAGGCAAAAGATACTAATGTTCAGTAACTATGAGAAGTAAGGGTGGGCAGTTCTTGGACTGGGGACTGTAACTCCAAAAGTTTGGAAGCACTAATCCAATCCAATCCCTTCATTTCAGAAAAAAAAATAATGAAGAACCCAGAGAGTTTAAGTAGCTTTCTCCCCAAAGTCACACTGCCGGTGGCAGGACAAACAGTCTCCTGCCTGGGGCCTGGGAAGCTTTCTGCTCCCAGCCTGACCTATGGGAAAACCTAATCAGGCTGGAAGGCAGCCATTCCAAAAGGATTTAAGCCTTACACTCCAAAATGACTTATTTTACAGGCAACAACAGGGAAGGAAGTAACCCAAAGTTCTTTGCAGTTACCTTAAGAGCCAGCTCTTTAGTTTCATACCCTCAAGACAGAACAATTCTTAAAAATCAATCCATTCATTTAATCCATTTTTTTCCCTTTGATACAGAAAGTTCACAAAATAAGAAGATAAACTGCAGTTTTGCAAAGTTTTGCAAAGCTAAAACTTAAAACAACCTAGTTGTTTGGGAATGTTCACTGGCCACATTGTTGTCTCTGAAACCTTCAAGTGTGTGTTCAGCTTTATAAAGCTTTATAAAGCTGGCTGTTCAGGAATGGGACACATTCTCCTAGGAACATGGATGGAGCATACTCATAAATAGCAGGAATTGCTTGTATACCTGAAATAGAAAATAAGCCCCAGTCTCCAGAATACTGAGGTGCAAATATCTCTGTAGGCAAGGAAATTGTTAGGTATGAATTATATTTAGCAACAATTCTCTTATAAGCTGATTTCAACAATTTTTTAAATGAACTAATACTACCGTCCTAGCTCAGTGGTAGCCTTTTGCTAGGAATGACTGAAGCTATTCTTACATTCTCCTAAGTTGATTAATAAAAAATATTTATTACACAAATCCTCTTTGTTGACAAGTTGAAATGGAGCCTCATCTTTCCTATCTCCCTGAAGATTGCCACCTTGTGAGATTGAAAATACTCATTAAATTCCACCACCAGACAGGCACAAATGAGAGGGTGATTGTTTTTAAGCATGAGGGGAATCGTTGGTAAACTCATTTGTTTGGATATCATTAACAGAACAATCGGTGAAGATCTCCAGGGGGTCCTCATGACCTTTGCTCGAAATCTCTTCATCATCCATCAAGAAATATCAGCACCTAATATGCAAGGCGAGACCAATTTTAAGGTGAGGTGTTAATTAACTAACGATTCTGGTTAATTTCTATACAAGGACTGAAAATACCTCATGCTGTATTGTAAACAAGTGCTAAACCATTTTTTTTATTGTGAAGCAATACATATTTTATAATGTACAGGGTCAATATTATAAGGTTCCCACTGAACCTGTTAGTTAAATTTAATAGTTTGAAATTTTTTCTTTGAAATATAGACCTGTTTTAAGTTGCTGCCATTTTCAAACCCAGTTTACAAGACAACACGGCTCTCTGAGATCAGAGGTGAAGCTGAAGTGTCACAATGAAACCAAAACAGAGACTGTCACCACCGAAAATCTTGAATGTAACCTACTCTCATTTCAGATAATGCAGTGTCTGGCCAAGGATTCCTGGGGAAGCCTTGTTTCTAGAACCAGAGGAGTTCTGAGGCCCCAGGAAGGATAATGTATAGTAGAGAGAAACAGAAAAAGCCCTCAGCGTATACATGGGCCATGTACCCCACCCTGTTTCTCCAAAGTGGGGCAGAAATTTCATCACTAACCTGTTTGAAGCTTCCAAATGGCCTTTAAAGATGTTGGTCCATGAAAGCCAGTTGTATGTAATTGATCAGAAGTCTCCAAACTGTAGAAATATGAACAAGAGCAAGGAAACAGGAGCAAGATCCACACAAGAGTTTTTGAAACACAGGCCAAACAGAGATGAACACTTGGTATTTAATTTCAATTTTTTATTTAAATTCTAGTTAACATATAGTGTAAAATTGGCTTCAGGTATAGAATTTAGTGATTCATCACTTACATATAACACCCAGTGCTCATCACACAACAAATGCCCTCCTTAATACCCATTACTCATCTAGCCCATCCCCCACCCACCTCCCTCCATCGACCTTCAGTTTGTTCTCTATCAGTTAAGAGTCTCTTATGGTTTGCTTCCCTCTCTCCCTCTCTCTCTCTTTTTTGTGCCCCTTCCCATATGTTCATCTATCTTGTTTCTTAAATTCCACATATGAGTGAAATCATATGGTATTTGTCTCTGACTGACTTATTTCACTTAGCATAATACACTCTAGCTCCAACCATGTCATTACAAATGGCAAGATTTCTTTTTGACGGCTGAGTAATATTCCATTGTATATATATAAACCACATCTTCTTTATCCATTCATCTGTTGATGGACATCTGGGCTCTTTCCATAATTTGGCTATTGTTGATAATGCTGCTATAAACATCAGGGTGCATGTGCCCCTTTGAACCAGTATTTTTGTATCCTTTGGGTAAACACCTAGTAGTACAATTGCTGGATCACAGAGTAGTTCTATTTTTAACTTTTTGAGGAAACTCCATACTATTTTCCAGGGTGGCTACACCAATTTGCATTCCCATCAACAGTGTTAGAGGGTTCCCCATCCTCACCAACATCTGTTGTTTCCTATGTTGTTAATTTTAGCCATTCTAACAGGTGTGAGGTGGTATCTCATTGTGGTTTTGATTTGTATTTCCCTGATGATGAGTGATGTTGAACATCTTTTCATGTGTCTGTTAGTCATCTGGATGTTTTCTTTGGAAAAATGTCTGTTCATGTCTTCTGCTCATTTCTTAACTGGATTATTTATTTTTTTGGGTGTTGGGTTTGACAAGTTCTTTATAGATTTTGGATACTAGCCCTTTATCAGATATGTCATTTGCAACTATCTTCTCCCATTCCATAGGTTGTCTTTTACTTCTGTTGATTGTTTCCGTCACTGTGCAGAAGTTTTTTATCTTGATCAAGTCCCAATAGTTCATTTTTGCCTTTGTTTCCCTTGCCTCTGATGACATGTCTAGTAAGACGATGCTATGGCTGAGGTCAAAGAGGTTGCTGCCTGTGTTCTCCTCTACGATTCTGATGGTTTCCTGTCTCACATTTAGGCCTTTCATCCATTTTGGATTTTTTTTGTGTGTATGGTGTAAGAAAATGGTCCAGTTTCATTCTTCTGCATGTTGCTGTCCAGTATTCCCAACACAATTTGTTGAAGAGACTGTCTTTTTCCCATTGGATATTCTTTCCTGCTTTGTTGAAGATTAGATGACCATATAGTTGTGGGTCCATTTCTGGGTTTTCTATTCTGTTCCATTGATCATTGCATCTGTTTTTGTGAACACTTGGTATTGATCACCGAAATCTGCATCTGATTCCCCGCATGGGCCTTCATCATGTTTGAATAGGTCAGGTAACACAAATGACTCAAATGGAACCACATGTGATCTTTCTCTTATGTGGAAAGCCCAACAAAAGCTTGTTGTAAAAAATGTAAATTTTAAATGTATTTTCCTTGCACTAGGGCCTGGTCTCTCTAGTAACAGTAATAATAATGATAATGCTTTCCTCTTCAATGTGATTTTATGAGTTGGAAGAATGACCATTGCTTTTCCTACAACAGGACTAAGAAGACTCAATGAAAAACAGGCCCAGTATTGCACTGATTTTCACTGGTCCTAAAGGATCTATCTCTTCATTTATATTCTAAGTTACTGTCAGCTAGCATAATTTCATCAGTTACTGTGATGTGCAAAATTCTGAGCTATATGTACATGATCAGTTTAGTCTATCCAAATATAACTAATAACCAAAATCAAATGGTGCTATGGACTGAATTATATCCACCCAGGCGCCCCCAGATTCATTTTTAGTAATATTTTCTGTCTACCACCCTAGTGACATTCTAGTAAGTATTTTCAATTTGTAAAGAAGGATTTATGAAGACAATAAAAATGGAAGGTGGTGCAGATAAAGCATTTAACAAAATCTAACACCATTTCCTAAAAACACTCAACCTAGGAATAGAATAGAATTCCTCAACCTGTTAAGGGCATTAACAAAAACCCATAGCTAACATCATAGTTCATGGTGCAAGACTGAAAGCTTTCCCCCTAAGATCAGCAGCAAGACAAGGATGTCTGCTCTCACCGCTTCTATTCATCACTGTACTGGAGGTTCTAGCCAGAGCAATTCAGCAAGAAAAAGAAATAAAAAGGCATCCAGATTGGAAAGAAAGAAGTAAAACTATCTCTATTCACAAATAACATGATCTTGTATTTAGGAAATCCTAAAGACCCCAGAAAGAGCCTGTTAGAGCTAATAAACGAGTTGAGAAAGGTTGCAAGACCCAAGATCAATATAGAAACATCGTATTTCTATACACTACCAATGAACGATCCAAAAATAAATTGTTGGGGGGCACCTGGGTGGCTCAGTCGGTTAAGTGATTGCCTTCGGTTCAGGTCATGATCCCAGGGTCCTGGGATGGAGTCCCACGTTGTGCTCCCTGCTCGGCGAGGAGTCTGCTTCTCCCTCTGCCCCTCCCACCTGCTTGCGCTCTTGCTCCTTCTCACGTCTTCTCTCATGCTTTCTCTCTCTCTCAAGTAAATAAATAAAATCCTAAAAAATAAATATTTTTTAAAATTTAAAATTTTTAAATGTTTTTAAAAATTCCATTTATAATAGCATTAAAAAGAATAAAAATACTTAGGAATAAATTTAATAGAAGCACAAGATCTGTCCATCATAAAAGAAAGAAGATCTAAATAAATGGAATGCAAGACTTAATATTGTTAGACGGCAATAATACTCCCCAGATTGATCTATGGATTCAACACCAATTCCTATCAGCATTCTAGCTGGCTTTATTGCAGAAATTTACAAGATGATCCTAAAACTCCTGTGGAAATGCAAAGGATCCAGAATAATCTAAATAATACTAAAAAAGAACAAAACTAAAAAAGAACAGAATTATGCTTCTCAACTTTAAAACTTAACTACAGTGGGGTGTCTCGGTGGCTCAGTCAGTTAAGCATCTGATCTTGATTTCATCTCAGGTCAGGATCTCAGGGTCGTGGGTTTGACCCCTTTTGGGCTCCACACACGGCACAGAGTCTGCTTATCCCTCTCCCTCTGCTCCTCCCTCCGGCTCGTGCTCTCTGTCTCTCTATCTCTAAAATAAATAAATAAAATCTTTAAAAAAATAAATAAATGAAACTTAACTACAAAACTACAGTCATCAAGACAGCATGGTATTGGCATAAGAATAGACATAGATCAATGGAATAAAATTGAGAGTCCAAAATAAACCCATACATTTATAGTCAATTGATTTTCAACAAGCATGCCAGAACAATTTGATGGAAAAAAAAATTGTCTTTTTAACAAATGGTGCTGGAGAAAACAAATATCCCCATACAAATGAATGAAGTTGTACCTCTACTCCACAGCATATATAAAAACCAAATAAAAATGGATCAAAGACCTAAATGTAAGAGCTACAACTATAAAACTCTTAGAAGAAAACACAGATATAAATAAATCTTCATGACCTTGTGGCAATGCCTTCTTAGACATGATACCTAAAGTGTAAACAACCAAAGTAAAAATAGATAATAGATAAAATGGAATATTATTCAGACATAAAAAAGAAATGTAGTTCTGATCCATGCTACAACACAAATGAACCTTGAAAACATTATGTTAAGGAGGACAGACACAAAAGGCCACATATTGTATGATTCCTTTTATATTAAATGTCCAAAGTAGGCAAATCCATAGAGAGAGAGAGTAGATTAGCAGTTGTCAGGAGTTAGGGGAGGGGGAAAATGAGGAAAGGCAGCTAATGGGCATAGAGTTTCTATTTGGGGTGATGAAAATATTTTGGAATTACATAGTAATGACAGTTTCTTACGAATATACTAAAAACCACTGAATTGAACTCTTTGTAAGGGTGAATTTTAAGGTATGTGAAGACTACCTCAATAAAAAAATAGCTAAATAAAATAAAAGGGAAAGGTGCCATTTTTCTGCCCAGTGGAAAAACCAATGGAAGTCAATACTCCCATCAGCCTACTAGCCCTCATTTTAGGATGACTAGATCAGTGCTTCTCAAATTATCTGTAGTGAAGTTTTGTTTTTTTCCAACCTATCATGGATCAGTACTTTTGTAAAATACAACAAAAATGAATTACTAGAAAAATGAAATGAAAAAAATTAAAGACATATAAAATAGAAGCCCATTTTTTTCACTTGACTTAGCAGCCATAAAAATTTCTATAAAGGTTTCCAAGTTCTTACTCTCAATTTTTTTACTCATTTCAGGACTGATAACACAATGTGTAGATGGGTGTTAGCTGGCAAAACACGCCTTGAGTTTAACTGGTCTAAATTATACTCAACCCCAAAACGGAGCAAATAATTGGGGTGGGGGAAAGAGTTGTAAGAGGTCTTTAAGTAATGAATATTATTTTTATTGTTCATTTATAGACGGCCATTGACGACATTGAAGCCATTCTAGGAGTAACAGAGGAAAACAAAATAAGATTTGAAGAAGAGCTAAAACAGTTCAAAGATGATAAAAACCTCTCTAAACCTGATAAATGAATGTTCCTGGAATACACTGCTGATTTTGGATTCTAATCTGGAGTCAAAAAAAGGCAACATTCTTCTTGCTGTTAAGAATAAAAGTGGGGAGTGGAGTTAGTTTGCTTTGTTTGCTAGAAGGTGTATCAAAACAGATTATAATGTAATGCTCTTTTTTAAAAAAATATTTATTAAGTGATCTTATGTTGCTTATTAAATTAAAACCTATTTGTGCCTTTACTTGAGAGTGTCGAACAATCGCTTCTTCTTCCAGAACTCAGGAAGAAATAATCTAACAAGAAAGTTACAAGTCTTACTGATATCACTTCTGTACCCACCTCTTTATGAATTTCAGGATTATGGAGCTTTTGTTTATACCTTATGAAGTTTTCTCCACCTATTTCTAAGAGTTACTGGTCTTCTGCATTTAAGAAATGGAATAAAGGCTTAATCATTGCTATTTGGCAAAACGGGTCTTCTTTTCCCCAAGAAAATTACATTTACATGGATTTTTAAAGTGACCCTTTATCATTCATTGCATTTTTTTTTTGTCCCAAGCCAATATTGTTTGTTGTTGCCATTTCTCAAAAAGTAAGGTAAGCCAACATCTAGTTAACCAAAGCATCAGAATTTATCTAGGTGGCAGTATCTGCTCTTAGTTTAATATATAGCGTAACTCGAGCCTCTAGCTTGAATAAACATTTGTAATCTCAAATTCTCCATTTAACATGGCAGTAGGATTTTTACAATCATAATTCAACAGTACCTTTTAAAGTACAAATTGTTAAAATTATGCAGCACTGACACTAACTCTTGGCATTCGCTTCTCAATTGTTCAAAATATTTCAGAATCATCCAGCTTTACAGAAGGGTGAAATATGCAAGTCAGGACACCAAAATCACATAGTTGTTTTAAAGAATAACCTTTGTATCTTTAAAAATATTTGAATGTGTTGGGGAAACTAAGAGTATGGTTTTATGTATGGAATTTCAATAATTTTTAACAGTGCCTCAGCCACAAGCTAAGAGTTCCTGCAATAAAGTCAACATTTTTGTGTCAGCTTTTGTTTTGCTATAGTTGGAAATACATTAATTAGCCAGGTTTCCTGCCTGTGCTAGGTACAACGATGACCTCTTTTTCTTGCCAGATCATTCTAATCCATATGAGGGGCCCATTGTCCAGACACTTGACGGATAGGAAGTACTACATGCCCATTAGAGTCTCGCCTCAATTGAAGCCAGAGCAACATAAGGTCCAAGAGACTCATTAGTTCACTGGCACAATCGTGTCCTGAGAGTAAATGAAACCCTCTGTCTCCTTATGGCTCTCATCTGCTCTGGACTTTAAAAGAAAACTGTCTCTGTTTTGTTCAGCACAGCGGTGCATCTTTCACATGGTGAGAACCCCCTTAACAGTACAAAACTGTTAAATCTGTCAGGGAAGTTTTGTATGTGCATTTTGATTAGCACTTTCGAGCCTCAAGCTGCTGGCAATTGTAAAATGAGTTCACTCTCCTGTACCTTTTGTTTTTTTTTAACCCACCATGATTGGTTTTCTCAAACAATGCACTTTCCTTCTTTGCATCTCTCATTAGCAAACACCACAGAATGCCTGTTTCCAAATTGAGGCCTTATATTCAGATTCAGAAAACAATTGGGAGTAAGGTTCTCTACCTAAAAACCTACAGCTTCAAAATGAAAGGAAAAAATTTGGTATAATAAAACAATCACTTCAAGTAATTAAGTGGAAGAAGCCAGAGGACCAGATTAAATTAGTGAAATGTTTTAATTACAGAACATCTGAAAAGAAGCATAGTCCATTATCTTTTAGCACATATATGTAGCAAAGATACTGTGCTACTGGTAAACTAAGGTAAGTTTGAAAAAAAATCACATATATGTGTACAATGTATAAAGTATCCTAAACAAAATTTGAGCTTTTACCATTCTAAATAGGAAAATGAAATATTTGTCGATAACAGGATGTCCCTTTACATATTACCCATTTTATATTGATTTTAAAGAAACCAAATAGGTGATATTCAATGACATATGGCTATTACTTATTTATCTTCTGTAATCTACTTATATTGACCTTTAATGAACACTTCTTATGGGCTAAGTATATACCGTAATAGAAGCTTTATCTACATTATTTTATTGCACCTGTCCAACAACCCGATGTCCCATTTTACATACGGGACACTAAGATTTAGTGGAGGTATCTCAGTGTATGTCTCAAGACCAAATGAAATTGGGGCTTTGCTCTTTTATCACAAATCCTAGCATGTTGTGTAAAGTAGAAAGTTCAGATTCCACTTGTCCCCGATCACACAAGAGACTTGCACTTTTTTATAACAAATTCTAGTGTTGCTTAAGAGACAGTTTCACTTATGCTTCCTGCTAATAAAATCAACTTGCACAACTGACAGTATCATGAGGCATCACAATTATGTAATCAAAGAAATCAGGAGAAGAGAATGTGGTGTCCGTGGAATTCTCCCATGGTGCTGGATCTGTAAGACTTTGGTGGAGGACTGACAATGGGAAGGTGCAGGGAAGTTTGGAAGCTGGGAAGTCAAGCCCCGTAGTTTGTTTGAAAAAGGGTATAAAGTCAAGAAACTGGGAAAGGATTAAGAAAGGACTTCCAACAAGACAGAGTAACTTGGGAAAAGATGGAGCATTATTTCAGCTATATCATCCTAAGAATTGCAAGCATCCTATTTTTCAGGTATAAAAATATGTATTTTATCATAAGTAATATATTAGTAACCATCTGATAGCTTTAACAATTAATAATCATTTGTATGCATCTGGCACCTTTCTTCTAAAGAGCTCAAAGCACTTTACATTTGTTATCTCATTAATTCCCAATACTGTCCCTATGGGGAAGGTAATAAATATTTTAATATTTAAATGTTTATCTTTCAGAATTTCTCAAGCATACATATGTTTCCAAAAATGTAAATGTTCACTAGTTTCCTTTTACTGTTCCTCTGGCTTCAATGTGCATAACAGATTTGTTCGGCTCTTTAAATGTACTGATCATAGTAAATCTTATCTGGAAAACTATAAATTGCTAAGATAATGGGAGGATGGAAGTTGTGGCTGGGGGAAGCATATAACTGTTTTTCTCCCTGGAAAAAGTTTGGTCCAGTCCATTGCAAATGCAGATGAAATGTGCTGTGGATCTTCCAAACCCTTTCTGTATCCCATTCTTTCCAAAAGGTGAGCCTCAGGAGGGTAAGGGCTGTATCTATAAGCCTGAGGTAGATTGAACTACCATGTATATTTTTGTTTTACTGATGATTTTATCAAAGTGGAACAGAAACCGGATGCATTCTATTAGGAGCTGCATCCCAAAGAGTCACAGAATAATAAGGGCCAAAAACTTGTCTCCCCAGCCCTCACTCTTTCTGGGCTGATCATACCTTCCTCAATTTTCTAACTAGAAAAATGACAGATAGTAATACCTGCTCCTTGGGGAAGCAGTAGAGATTAATTGGCCAATGTTGGGAGAGCGTTTCCAAGAAGAAGCTTTCTACATAAATGTTTAAGTATTATTATTGCACTGCTACTTCAAATGGAAGTTCTAACTTTGAAATGTGATTATACACTTTCCAAAAAAAAAAAAAAACCCTTCATAACCACATATATAGGTTTATTTTTCACTCTAACAGTCTAACTCATGGTTGTGAAACTTTATTGCACTTGATGGAGGACCCTGGCTTTTATTAGTTTTAAACTGCTGGTTGCTGGGGTATTTATGTAAATGAGGGAAAGATACCAAAACAGTAAATAATAAGCATGTCCCTGCTGTTTAAAAATCTGTTGGTAGAAACAACTTTTGTTTGGTTTTAAGAAGAACCTAAACATAGCACAGAAAAATATAGCTTTGGCATCTATGCGTAAAATAGCATTTTGGCTTTGGGGGGGGGGTTTGACATTGGTTTTTCTTCCCAAGCATTTCTTTGCCATTCTGTAAACATTTTGTTTTACCCCTACAGTAGCTACCATATATATCATATACATGTATGTAAGAGAGAAAAATAAGTAAAATACATTTTAAGAATTTTTTTATTTAACAAAATGTTATAAAGTATACTAGATAGCTAATTATAGCTCTCAGAAAGCAAGGCCACACCCAAATTTATTGCAGTCTCCTCACAAGGAATGTTACAATAAAATCATGGTCCCATAAACTTAACAACAAAACAGCAGAACTTCCATTGGTTGTAAAATAACTTCAAATTCAAATTCAAATTCTGGTTCATTTAAAGATTCATGCTGCTTTGCTTCCCAGCAGAGGACACAAAATACTTATTTTGCAATCATTGAAAAATTTAAAATGATCTAACAACACATGACTTCCAGGTTCCCTTTACAATGTCTTTCTACTCATCTTTTTTTTAAGTTGAATATCCATAGCCACATTTTGAAGCCAAAACACTAGGTTCATTTGCAACAACAATGAAAAATCAGAAAGGCTTAAACATTTAACAATAAGGTATTACTTAAAAATTACAGGGGGTACCTGGGTGGCTCAGTTGGTTAAGCATCTGACCCTTAATTTTGGTTCAGGTCATGATTTCAGGGTCATGAGACCGAGCCCCGAGTCAAGCTCCACACTGGGCATGGAGCCTGCTAAAGATTCTCTCTCTCCCTCTCCCTCTGCACCTCCCCTCATCCCTACCCCTCCTTGCACACGTGCACACATGCACTCTCTCTCAAAAAAAAATTAAAATAAGAAAATTATGGAATAGCTATATAAAGACCTCTATATAGCCATTTAGAAAATCACAGGTTACTATAACTACTGTATGATATAGCCATTCCACTCCTAGGCATTTATTTACCCAAGAGAGAAAAAAGTATATGTCCATTCAAAGACTTGTACATGAATCTTCATAACAAATTTATTCGTAATAGGCCCCAATTGGAAACAACCCAAATGTCCACCAACATGTAGATGCATAAATTATGGGACATCCTTACAATGGAATACTACTCAGCAATAAAAAGGAACAAGTTGTTGATAAAATCAAAGACAGGAATGAATCTTAATATAATTGTGCTGAATGAAAAAATCCAAACAAAAAAGAGTACATATCCATTTATATAACATTCTAAAAATACAAACTATAGTGACAAAAGGCAAATCAGTGGTTGCCTAGGGGTGGGAAGCTGGGGGCCAGGTGGTGAGGAGGAACAGGAAGATTACAAAGGAGTAGAAGGAAAATTCTGGGGGTGATGGATAGCTCCACTATGTTGATTGTGAAAATGGTTTCTTGGATGTATACATATGTCAAAACTTATCAAACTATACACCTTAAATATGTGCACTGTTTGAAGGTCAATT